GAGCTTCGGAGACAACGAGGATGATGTGGTGCCGCACTGGATAAGTAGAAAAATAGGGCTTTATTTTATTTATTTAATGGCCAGAACTTAAAAAATTCATATCATGGTGTAGAAAAATAAAAAAATAAAAGAAAAATACCCTAATGCTCGGTGAACAGAGAAGAACAGTGTGGAAATGGTTTGAAGTTTATTTGATGCCTATTTTATTTTGAATTAATTAAATATGGTTTTGAGTCTTTTAACTCTCCATACATGTAGGCATTTCACCATAGCTTGATATTTTTGCATGTTGTTGTCTCTGTAACGGGGGATATTCTCTGATTTTTCCAAGGTCAGAGAAGACCTCTAGACATAGATCCATATTTTTTAAGTTTATGTCTATTATTTATATTAATTAATCATAATGATTACATATTGCTGCATGTTGCTTATAAAAATCCAAAGTAATTTTGGAAGGTTTACTATCACCAGAGAACGCTTTGAAAAATTTTTCATGGACCAAGTCATTAAGAACACACTTAACTCTCACAAAATCCTAAAACAAAAAGACAATTAATTTAGAAAAATTAATCATCTAAATGACTTAATTTTGATTCTTCATTGTGATTTAAAGTTCAGAGAACTCCCCATAAAAAAATTGAAAATACTTGAAGTTCATTTGATAACGCTAAGTTAAATGACATTTTTAATTCTAAAATAATTCTTAATAATTAAAATATAACTCAAAAAATTATAAAAATTAGTTTTTAGAGCTCTCTGCAATTAGGATAATTTTCTAAAAATAAAATTGTAATTAAAATAAAAACTTCATTTTTTAAGTCTATTTTAATATTTAAATAATTAAAATTAATAAAAATAAAAAAAATTGATTAAATTCATGAAAATGTTCTCAATTGTTTCCTAAGCACTTAGGAGCAATTAAAATATTTTTTCTAATTTTTTTAAGTGAATATATTTAATTTTAAAGCTAAAAAAAAATTTAAAGGCTAAAAAATGATTTTTATTAACTTTTCACTTAAATAATTCTAATAATTTAAAAAAAAGTTATAAAAATGTGAAATTTATTTTTATAGGTTCTTTGACCTTATAGAGATTTAATAAAAATGTAAAGCTTAATTTTTCACATTTAAAATATTTTATAATTAATTAACACTCCAGAACTTAAAAAAATTATAATAATTCAAATGTAACTCAAAAAATCATGAAATTTGGTCCCAATGGTTTTCTGGTCTAAGTATACCTCCAGTAAAAATTTCAAGGGATTAGGCTTTGCCTTGGTCAAGATATGGAATTTTCTCTAAAAAACCCTATTTTTGCATATCAATAATTATACAAATTAAATTAAAATTTGAAAAATCACATTTTCTCCTTTGATGTCTTAATTGTCCTTACATTTTCTCCTTTGATGTCTTAATTGACCCATGAGTAAGGTATGATGAAAATTTTGAAGTCATTTGAATTAAATTTGATAAATTATGAAATGATAGAACCTTAGAGGCAAATTAGGCTTAGTTCAAGAAAGAAAAATGTGCAACCTTTTTTATACTAATTAACATATTTGGATGATTGAAACACAAGGGATTAATTTGTAGAAACCAATCTCTTTTTTTTCCTAATTAAAGGATAAATTTGTAATTTCCTAAATTATTAAAATTTGGAAGTTTAGTAAATTAAATGATCCTAGACTTAGGGGTATGATTTTGAGTGTTAATAACTCATTAATTTAATACCCCTATTTGATGTTCAAGTGACATTCAAATGTTTTGATGATGAATTATTATCACTTAAAATTTAATCTCTTTCAAAATGACTAAGACATCCACCAATGTCTTAAAGGCTTAGTAGTGACCTAAGCTAAATCAAATTTGGTTAAATGAGGATTTGAAAAGTGAATGTAACTAGAAATTGAACACTAGAAGCCTAAGTTAAAGCTAAAATTGGCGAAGTGTCTTAATAGCATTAACTTACCCGTTTTAAGTGTTTTCACCCACATAATTCTTAAATTAAATGATAAATGATGATTACCCTACTCGTAGGGATAATTGAAACATCGATGTTCACTGAACACTAGAGATATTTACAGGAGGAATTATTAAGCAACATAATAATTTTAAATGAGCTCGAGACTTTTCACCAGGCGGTGAGGGGGAAGGATGGACCTGCTTTTTCTCCTGACCTGTTGAATACCTCAGAGGTCTACTAAACTCACTATGTCAAACTCACTATGTCTTGCTTAATAAGATCATCCTTAATTGAATTAATAGGGGCTCACCATGATATGATTTAGGATTTGGTAAATCATCATAACCTTATTTTTCCAATTTACATAAAATGCCCTTACATGCATTTTGAGTTTCAGGTGGTGGAACAAGAAGATTCGTCAGGTACACTTTTACAGTTTACAGTATCGTCTTTTTTTTCTATACTTTCCACACTGTATTTTATGTTTACAAAGCTTGCATGTTAAACAACGATGTCACCCTACATGAAAACCAAAACTAAAATCAATCAATATAAAATTCACCACCACAACATTCTAAATATAAGACAACTCAAAATTTAATCACAAACATCACAAAAATCACAATTATAACTAAATTAAGACGTCTCTATCGGATGATTGGGGATCCCTTGGAGGAGGTAACCTATGGTTGCTAACGAGGCTTCCAACGATCTAAATGAAAGTATGGAACTCATTAAGTTGAGTTTAGTAAATTCATTTGGACTAAGTGAATTCGATAAAAAATAGTGGTACCGGAACGAGGGAACCGTGAGATTCTAACCGGAATCGCTCTAATTAACTTTATCTGACCAATATGCCACAAAACATTTAAAGAACTACAACCATATGACCATCTGATTTGACGTCATAACTTGGCACACTAGAAAACTTAAACTCACCACGACGAGGAGCTTGAAGCTAACATTATGGGCAACACGACCATCTCCAACAGTAAAACCTGTCTTCCCCAGCTAAACCATTCCTTCCTTAGGATTAAACAACTAAAGCCATAGGACTTCGAGATTGTTTGCTTATGCAATATAAACCTCACCTCATCTTTAGGCCTTTGTATAGCTTAACTATACAATATAAGCCCTAACTTGTCTTAGGATTCCGAGGTTGTCATTCGTCATGACCTAAATCCTCACATTTTCTAGGCCATTTGTGTGATAGTTTTACACAAATATAAGCCTTAATTAATAAATTGGGCAGACCGAAACACTTAAATAATTTCTCTTCTAAACTGAAGACAAACTGTAGGATAGCGTGCTGAGGTTCTCCTTTGGATCTATGACATCCCCTAGTTCTTCCTCCTTTGGATTCCAAAAATAAAATGTTCCAAAGTTGAACCAATCCCTTTTCACATTTTGTTTGTCTGATTTCATTGAAAAGTCCTATCATTTTGACTTCTTTGAAGATAATAATTCCTGATTTTTATCGAGAGTTTTCTTAAGTGACTTCATTTGTCTAAGATGTAATTAACTATAGGGCTTGCCCTTATAGGAAGCTTGTCCGAACCCAGCTTAATATAAACCCTATTTAATGTTTCATATTAAATAGAAGAAATTGTCGGCAAATAAAATGGTTTCACAGACCAAATGGATGTCATATATTTCTTAGTTTATTTGATCGAGCCTCATCCTCAAGTCTTGTGTTTATTCTTTGGGATAGATACAGGGTTTGAGGTATGACGCTCTTTCATTTAAACTATGAAAAATATG